TTACCTGGTACCTGGATCTTATTACACCAGACTCACCTTTGACAACAACCTGACTCTAATTCTACACCCAGTCTCCAAGTTTCCCTGTGTTGACCCTTCCCCCTACCCCCAGACCCCTGCCCAGGACATTTTCTTTCAGTTCAGTTAAGCCAAGGGCTCTGACTTTTCCTTTTCCAAGGGGCTGCCTGCTGTCCCAGATATAAAGTAAGGCACTGTCATTATGGTTATTCAAAAGTCCTCACTACACTCAGGCTTTAGTTTTTATTGAGTATTATTGTCAAGTTTAGGCTCTACTATGTTCCTTGTAAACAATTTATTCCTAGAAGGCAGATCAGATTTTGAAAATATTTTCTTTTGCCCTTTCTTAGTACTTCCTAAAAATCACATATTACTAAAGAACCAGCAATCCATTTTAAATTGAGCTCTGAAAGAGGGTGTGTTCCCGACTGAATGGGGGCAGAATCTCTCAACCATTCCAGGCCCTCTTTACCTTTAGGTATCCTCAGAGGGTGATGAAGCCACCAGCAAAGCAAGAACAGTTGAGAGGGAAAAAGGGAGAGAAAGATTTTGAAATGATCTGATACTTTCTATTGCAAATTAAAACACCTAAATAGGGACCAGCAGTTAGCATAATGGCTATGTTGCTGGACTCCCGTGTAGTCAACCACAGTTCGAGTCCCAGACCCAGTGGCATAAACTCACGCCAGGCACGTGTGCATGCGTGCCCAAGATCCCAAGAGGAGAATGGAGGAGAAGGGATTGCAGTGTGACCATCCCTGGTCGGGGGGGAGGGGGAATTCTTGCTTTCTGTCTGTCTGGCAAGCACATGTGCCCTATAGCAGAAACCTCTCCAAAAAATAAATAAATAAACAAACAAACACCTAAATAGTCATTATCAGAACTTTGAGACTTCAGAATTTAGCGTTCTCTTTATTGCAAATTATATCTAGAGATGTCACTTTAATCCTTTCATCTTTGAGCCTCTCAGGTCTTTATCTGACCTGGCCTGGCTCATCCCTTATGATGGGGCTTCCCTCCCACATGTAGAAGAAAACCGCTCTGAATAGCTCAGGTCTGGGTTTTGCTACTTCTCTTTGGGGAATGAATTTGCCCCAGGTGAAAGGTATTCACAAAATACTTGGAGAATGAAGTCCCTTTTTGACTCACCAAACAGGCTCAGTAGCTCAAACTTCAATAGGGTCAATTTCGCCTCTGTATATAGAGATTGGCCCTCAGGGGCTCGCCCCTGAGTTCAACTCTCCTTTGGCTTGCCATGACTCCTCTGAAACAGGACAGAATGCATTTATGATGTTCCTTTGGGAACACAACAAAGACCTACAAAGTACTAGATGCTACAGCTCTTCAAAAGATATTCTAGCTAATTTCTACTGGGGAAGATTTCTATTTAAGAAATAAAAGGTCCCCAATCCTGGAAATGAGAGGTCAGTGATCAAGAGGAGATGGAGAAGGATTAAGTATGTTTTCTTTACAATTTTTACTGATACATTTCAAGAATTCTGTTCTCTCCAAGAAAAATAGAGACAGAAATTCTAGTATTTATCTTTGTGGATATATGCCTGTGCAAATGACGTGTGAGATTTTATGAGAAGGTGTGAACGTGTGTACAGGACTAAAGTGTGAATTACTGATATGTATACGTAATTGATGCTTGTTCAGTATCTATGTTTGTGTGTATTTCAGAGTGTGAATGTAGTCCAACAAGGATGTGAGTTTATAAATGTTTGGGTATTGAAAAGGTTAACCATACAACTAAAGCAGATGTTTTCATAAATTCTCAGGTATTTCAATAAATGACTTAATTTTCTTCAGATAAAGAACAGAAAAAGAAATGTTCTTTTCTTCTGGTGAAGTAAATTTTTAACAGCAGAAACACAGACTATTAGCTATGGGACATATGAAGAGTGTGAGAGAAGTTATAGAAGATGCATATTATGGGGACGTAATGGTTACATTGCTGGACTCCCACGTAGTCCACCACAGTCCGAGTCCTGGACCCGGTGACTTAAAACTCAAGACTACATGCCCAAAATCCCAAGAGGAGAATGGAGAAGAAGGGATTGCAGAGTGGCCATCCGCCCTGGGGGTGATTTCTTGACTTCTTGCTTTCTGTCTCTGTCTTTCTTGTGAGCACATGTGCCCTATAGCAAAAATCTTAAAAAAAAAAAGAAAGAAAAAGAAAAAAATGCATACTGTGAAAAACTATCCATGGATTTCACATTTTTTACACCAAGATAAAATTTCTTGACTTCTTACTTTCTGTCTCTCTTTCTTGTGAGCACATGTTCCCTATAGCAAAAATCATTAAAAAAAGATGCAAACTGTGAAAAACTATCCATGGGTTTCACATTTTTTACACCAAGATAAAATTTACTTGAATTCCATTTTTCCATAAACTTTCCAAGTCTCCTCACATATATCTCGTATATATATTAGGTTGTCGGAAAAGTCATGATATAGTTTTCTGTGTTTTTCTATGCAAAAAATGCATCATGACTTTCCCTAAAGCCCGATATAGGTCATTCTAGGTCAGCCTATGGCACAGTGAGTGGTTATGGGGACTGGATCCCACAGTCGCATGACCACTGGCGGTGTGAATCCTGGCCCTGGTGACCTGGAGAACATGCCAGGGGGGTGTGCATGCATGTCCCAAATCTTGACGGGAAGGAGAAATGGAGGAAAACAGATTTCAGTGTGACTACACCCCACTGGGAGGGGATATATATATATATATATCCCCCCTGTCAAGAAATGATTGTTTGTTCCTGGTGTAGATGAGAAACGAAATCTTCCTGTAAGGGGGTTTCTCATCTTTATTGTTGATCGTTGTCTCTGGTCTAATTATGAAAACTGGAGAGTGAGCATTTGAGGGGAGGAAGTTCTTTCAAGAGTAATTGCAAGACTGAGAAGAGGTGGAGGGAAAGTGGAGGAAAGCATGGATGATATGGAAATTTAACAGTTACCAAACAGGAGCTTGACTCAGGTTTCCTCCGATGAGTTCCAAGGCAAAATGTGTGGTTTGGGGTGAGTTTTTAGCAAAGCTGCAGTTTTCTATAAAACAGCTGGCAGAGGAGCTGGACCCAGTAGAAAAGTCCCTCTTCTGCTAGTTGGGTAAGAGCAGCTGGTGCTCCAAGTCCCCACTCTTCTACCTTCTCAGAGAGCCACTCTCAGCCCCATTTCATATGCATGAACCATGACCACCAGGCAACAATTTGGGTAGGAGATGTTAGGTGCCCAGTGTGGGCACCTGTTAAGCCCACGGGCATTGGCTTATTAGGCAGCGGTACCAGGCTTCATTGCTGGCCCCAGCTGCATCTGGGTGAGAGGAATGGGCCCATTGTCCTCCTGGGCCAGGGAGGGTGCAGGGTCATTAGGTAGAGGATGATGTGGTGTCTGCTAGCCTGAGGAAATGGCCTGCTTTTGTTTTCTACCCAGTAGGAAACGGACCTGAATCCATTAGATTCTGGGCAGTTCAAGGCGGCACAGTTTGAGCTCTTAGAGGCTCGAGCTGAAAAGGCTACTCGTGTGGATTTGTGTCCCAACCACCATTGTGCAGGGTGCCGATCTTTTATGCATTTAAAGCCTGCCAGGCTGGTAATCCAAAGTAGAGGTCTGGAAGACGGTAATGCCAGCAGACATGGGGAATAGTAAAGTGCACCTCTAGAGTTAAAAAATGCATGACCCGCTCCCTCAAAGAGTGAACACAGGAGGAAGACCCGTCCTGGAGGGTGGCGGCTGAGCCTTAATACATAATTCACGGGCCCATGCTGCTCCATGCAGATGGCGATATTAAATCATGATTGATGCTAAGAGACGCACACATCTCAGGAAGGTCTCCAAGAGGCTTCTGAATATTTTTGTGTCTCTTGTGCCTTTCCATCATCTGTGCTACTGTGCTATTAAGCAAAAGCCCCCCATTTCTCAAGAACTCCTGCTGGAGGTTGCAGAACTTCACTCCCAAATAGACGAGATTCTTCAAATGTCATCACCCACCTTTGCTGCCTTTGAAGATCGCCCCTTCTCTCCTGGCCCACATGAAGCTGTTTACCTCCAGCTGGGCATTGCTGGCAAGGGGGAGCCAGCCACTCCCCTGCAGCTGCCCTTTGCAAGGGCTAGTTGCTGTTTATGCTGAACAAAGCAGCAGCACACTCTGGTGGTGGTGACTAGGCAGGAGGGACAGTGGGCAGAAAGTGCCGAAGAAGAAACCCAGGCCGGCGTCATTCAGCACAAAGCACCTTTGTCGAAACTCTGAGGTCGGAGCCAGTGGATTCTCCAAGACAGATTTTTTCCACTCAGCGTATAATGAAATAATAAATCAAATTTGCGGTATATGTAGAATTAAATGTTTGGGGGTTTTGCTTTTTCTTTCTAAAAAAAAAAAGGAAAAAAAAAAGCTGAAATCACCCTCCAGGGGCTGTTCTGGCCCAAAGCTAAAAGTGCTGCTTCCTTTGCAACACATGTAATTGTTACCAGGCTCACTTGTGGGTCAGCACCACAAAACCACTATTGTCAGTTCCTGGAACCTTGAGTGCTGGCTGCTTGGGCTGGGCTGGGAGACATCATATAGAATGAGGGATTTAGGAGATAAAGATAGAGATGAGAGGTTTGAATGAGGAGAGGAAGATGGAAGATGGGCCAGGGAGTGGAGACAGGAAAAGGCAGGGAGGCATGTTCAATTTGCAGCCTTCTTGTTTTTCTAATCTCAGACCGTGTAATTGGGGATATTTATGACCCTTTTCTGGAATACTTTTGTGTGTGTGTGTGTGTGTGTGTGTGTGTGTGTGTGGTTGGGTGGGTAGAGGGAGGGATGAGCTGAAATAATCTCTTCCACTGAGTGAGTAAGTAGGTTACTCTTCTAGACTGCCATAAAAGGTCTGTAAGATAGTTTTAATCAGCCACTGGTAGGAAAGAGAAGCAGAGAGAAGGGGGGAGAAAGGTTGTAACATACTTGAAGTTCTTTGGGTTCTTGCTTTCTTTTTCAGACCAACCCTGTGGAGGTCGTTTGAATTCCAAAGATGCTGGCTACATCACCTCTCCCGGTTACCCCCAGGATTACCCCTCCCACCAGAACTGCGAGTGGATTGTTTACGCCCCTGAACCCAACCAGAAGATTGTGCTCAACTTCAACCCCCACTTCGAGATTGAGAAGCATGACTGCAAGTAAGCACCATCCCATTCCACGGTGAACAGTGTATCTTTTATGGAATACTTTTGTGTGTGTGTGTGTGTGTGTGTGTGTGTGTGTGTGGTTGGGTGGGTAGAGGGAGGGATGAGCTGAAATAATCTCTTCCACTGAGTGAGTAAGTAGGTTACTCTTCTAGACTGCCATAAAAGGTCTGTAAGATAGTTTTAATCAGCCACTGGTAGGAAAGAGAAGCAGAGAGAAGGGGGGAGAAAGGTTGTAACATACTTGAAGTTCTTTGGGTTCTTGCTTTCTTTTTCAGACCAACCCTGTGGAGGTCGTTTGAATTCCAAAGATGCTGGCTACATCACCTCTCCCGGTTACCCCCAGGATTACCCCTCCCACCAGAACTGCGAGTGGATTGTTTACGCCCCTGAACCCAACCAGAAGATTGTGCTCAACTTCAACCCCCACTTCGAGATTGAGAAGCATGACTGCAAGTAAGCACCATCCCATTCCAGTGGGCTACCCTGTCCCTGAAACTCAACCCCTCCCCCTAGCACCTGCTGCTGCCAGAGGGAGTTCTCAGGATGGCACTCTCTTGTCGGGGTCATCGAGGTGTAGTTGGTCCCACCGTAGAGAGAAAGAGCTCTCTTTAGTGTAAAGAATAGTTCCTGACTTCATGAGCGGGCAGTGGAAGAGAATTGCCAGGTGGGGGCAGGAGGTGGATTACAAAACCCCATATTCTGACTCTGGATATACCTTCCCCTTGGACATCTCCCCATCTCCCCAGCTGCTCCATGTGAGAACCCCACCCACTTCCTTAAGAAAGCAGTAGCCAACTCACTGAGTGGACACTTCCTCTACGTCCAGCCGCGGTGGATCAGGCTGTTAGCGTGTGAAGTGGCAGCTGGTTTTCTTGTAGAAAGAGAGAGTAAAACATGAGTCTGTCTGAGCAGGTCTAAGACGCATATCGATTCTTGATTTCTGCACTGCACAGGTTAGAGTCTGAAGGCTGGTGTATGGATTTATTTAGCAAATACTGTTCTAATTGCTTTACGGATATCAGTCCATTCCATTCTGATGGCACTGGGAAATGGGTGCCATCACCATCTCCATTTTGTAGGTGAGGAAACTGAAGCACAGCGAGGCTAAGTCCGTCACCTGAGATGACTCAGCTGGTCTTACAACTACATTGGTTCTGAAACCTGGGAAATATATGGCATAGGAGATGCCAAGTAAACATTTAGACATTCATGAGTGCTTTCGAAATGCCATGTTAACATCCAGGTCCCTGTCAGCTAAGGTGGGGATGTAGCAAGGTTATAATGTCAAGAATGCGAGTGAGTTTCATTCATACTGTCTGCTGAGCTCTATCTTAATGAATTGATGTCATTATTATCCTCTTAAGACTACTTTGCATCTACCTAGTAGTTTTCTCCTAACTAGAGGTAGTCTTTGTTGAAAACCAATGGTTTCCTGGATAGATGCCTCGTGTGACTGGGAGTCATAAGATAGTTTTCTTCTCTTGAAACAAAAGTGAGAGCTTTCTGTACAGAGAAAGAAGAGTGTGCCAATGATCACATCTTGTCCCAACAGGGTACCTACAATATGCAGTTGCTCTGATGGGTGGTCAATGATCCCTTAGGATTACTAAATTATCTGAGTGTTCCTTGTGGCAAAGGCATTGCAAGGACTGAAAAATTAATAAAGGGGTTTGCTGGCAGGATAGGTCCAAGGGAGCAAGTGAAACTCCCAGCGTTCATTTTAGAGCAGGCCTAAGTCCAGGCCAGCACTTTCTCATGGAAGAAACAAGGCCCCTCTTTAACTAGTGCTAGACTGTGAGGCTTAGTGAATTGATGTCATTATTATCCTCCTAGGACTACTTTGCACCTACCTAATGGTTTTCTCCTAACAAGAGGTAGTCTTTGTTGAAAACCAAGTTTCCTGGAGGGATGCCTCATGTGACCTAGAGTCATAAGATAGAGTTTCTAATCCCAGATCCACTCTGGACTCAATAGATGACACAGGGTAACATCAGTTCCTCTTTGTCTAAGTTAAATGCACACCCTAGATACATTCGTTCAGCATCTTCTGATCCCCTGACAGGAAAATTTACCAAGAATTTCTGTTAGAAGAGCTTCTTCATAAAGCATCTGGGGTCCCAGTTCCTCTGGCTAGGCTGCAGAAGGTTGGCACCAACTAAAGCGTAATATATTGTCCAGAGAGCTCGCATCTGAGCTCAGAGAAATTTGACTAAGCGCCTCTCTCGATGGAGGGCCAAATTCTGTTATGCTTATGCCAGCAAATCTCCCAGGGAAATTGCTAAGAGGTCATCTTATGTATATTCATAGTAGCAGAGGGAGAAGGCACAGCTTTTGGAAGGAAAATCATAGAGCTCATAAGCATGGCTTAAAACATGCTGGGAGGTACTAAACGCCAAAATACATGCTCCTGGCCTACTGTGGCTGCTGGGTACTCCTCCCTATGGGACTCAGCCCCCAGGAGTGGGAGAACTCCAGGTTTCTGGAGTCTCTTACAGTGGGAGGGACGACGGCATTGCCCCTTGCTGGAGTTGGAGTGCAGGAAGCAGGCGTGTCACAGGGTATCTTCTGGCTTCTCATCCTCACTAAATAGCTTCCTGTTTTCTTCCCCACCCCCACCCCCATCCCATGCTTCTGGCTTTAACCTGAAAGACCAGGAAGGTCAGGAAAATAAAATCTTTTTAGGGTCTGTTTTCCCCCAGTTCTAAATTGTCAAGAAAGCTCCGTGGAGGTGACACCTTATCTGGTTAACCTTGTCCTTAATTCTCCTTGTCCTGCCCATCCCCCATTTCCCCTTCACTCCTCCTTTCTCTCGCTCTCTTATTAATTTTTGTATTTGGAAAGACACATCAGGTTCTCTCCACCTCTCACTCTTTAAGGCATTTTTGACATTTTCCCTTGGTCATTTGTATTCAGAGTAAATGCGCTTCCCCCTCCCCACTGCCTTATTTTACTTTCTTGTGAAAGAAACAATTAATCTAATTGAAGTCCTGGAAGTTCTGTCCTATGCCTGTTCAGCTTTCTCTCTCTCTCTCTCTCTCTCTCTCTCTCTCTCCCCCATACTTCATTTTCATTCCAAGGGAGCTCCTGGGTTTGGAAAGCACTTTCTATCAAAGAAAATTAGCCTCCTTTCTCCTTTCATTTTGGGTGCATGTTTCAAATTGGATTTGGCTCTCAAGGCCCATAAGGTGGATACTTCCCAAAAGAAAACTGCTTAAACTATTTTTCTGGCGATACAGTGCCTCAGGAACAGCCTAGCAAAAAGGGGAAATGAGTAAGCAAGTGGGGAAAGAAGCTAGCCCAGATGTGGCAAAGGGCAGCAGTCAGCATGCCTGCCCTCGCGTTTTCTCTTCTTCTTTCTTTGTACAGGATTAACTGCAGAGGTTGCCCCGTGACCTGGGCACAGGGCCCTGATATGAAAGCATTATCCCAGTCTGTGGCCCCTAAACCCTTGGCTCTCTGTAGCTTGAAATCTACATCCCAAAGGTCGAGGCTATTGCTGAGTAAACCTCGGACAGACCTTTCCCCCTAACTGCTGCTTGTTAATTTTATTCCATTTAAGCCTGCTGTCTGCTTGGAAAATTTCACTCATAGGCCTCAGCTTTGCCTGACTCAGTGTAGGCTAATGCCACTGTCCCCCTCCCCCTGGCCATTTGCAGGGCTCCAAACCCACACCCCCATAGGCTGTTCTGGGGCCTGTTTAGCAGCTGAGGGCAGAGCCAGAGGCCACTGCGGCACTACTGTGTTTCTGTGGTTGAGGGACAGAAGGGCAGGGCTCAGGGCCATCTGGGCAAAAGAGAGAAGCCACTTCATTCCCTGTGGGGAAGAGGATGCTGAGATGTGGCTGCCTCGGCAGACAGAGGCCTTTCGCTTGAGTCATCGGCCAACAGGGTGAGTGTTATGGTTTGAAAAGCACACACACAAAGCTGAGCGTTTTTCCCATTTTGAACATTTTAAATGTGTGGCTTTTCAAAAATACCCACCTGCATGTGATACACAGCTTATTCACGCGCTCTCAGACAGGCGTAGAATCCCGCCCGTTCCAGAGGCTCCACCAAATTAAACCCGAATCAATGAGTATTTTGAACAACATGTTTCAGAAAGTGCAATGGCCATCAGGAAGACTTGAAAAAAAAAAACATTTTCTGGGATAAAAAAAAAAAAAAATTCGTAAGGAAGTCTACACTAGTGATTTTATATGTTTATATGTTCTGTTCAGTACAGTATCTCATCTACCCTATAATGGAAAAATGACACTCCATGTGAGTAAAATTTTTGGATACTGAAACATACCTCTTGAAAGTTCCAAAAGTTCTTTTTTTAAAGGGTTTCAGATAAGGAATATTTCAAATCATGTGCCACACTTCCCTGTCTTCTGAAACAAAATGAATACTAAGAGAACGGTCAACGCTTTCTTCTTCGTTTTTTTTTTTTTTTTTTTTTGGAGAGGTTTTTTGCTATAGGGCGTGTGCGCTCACCAGACAGACAGAGAGAGACATAGAGACAGAAAGCGAGAAATCACCCCCTAGGGGGGATGATCACACCACAATCCCTTCTCCTCCATTCTCCTCTCGGGATCTTGGGCACACACGCACACGCACCCGGCGTGAGTTTTAAGCCACTGGGTCCGGGACGCGAACCACAGTCGACTACGTGGGAGTCCAGCAACATAGCCATTAGGCTAACTGCTGGTTCCCAGGTCAACGTTTTCTTGATGATTCAGGCTTCTAATTCTGAACTTCACTTTTGGGGACAGAGACCCGGTAAGGTTCTATCTCAATGAGATCAATTTGTCCCATCTTTTTTTGTTTTAACTGCCAGAGGGCATGTGCACTCACTTGAACCAGAGAGACAAAGAGAAAGCCCCTCCCAGTGGGGTGTGGTCACACTGAAATCTGTTTTCCTCCATTCCTCTTTCCTTTCAAGATTTGGGACATGCATGCACACACACACCCCCACCCCTGGCATGTTTTCCAAGTCACCAGGGCCAGGAT